TCGAACTTTCATAAAAAAGTCAATTAAGTCCTTCTATAGGACACTCTGTCCGGTCGTCGCGATTTGGGGCGGTTCCCGGTGAAATTTTTTGATGAAATTTTTTGAGCATCTTATTTATCAAGTCTAGTTTACTCATACCGAATTTTAGCTAAAACCTTAATCGTGAGCGCATTCAAATTAATTCGAGAACGCAACAATGCGCAGTTATCTTCAAGAATTAATTTGAATGTGTTTACGATTGAATTTTTAGCTGAAATTTGGTATGAGTAAACTAGACTTGGTGAATAAGATGCTCAAAAAATTTCATCAAAAAATTCCACCGGGAACTGCCCCAAATCGCGACGGCCGGACAGAACCTCCTATAGAAGGACTTAATTGACTTTTTTATGAAAGTTCGAGGACCTATTTGACAGTTTTCCCTTTTAAAAATTAGCATAACATGAGTACCAATTGAGCACATGTAACTTACAAAATCAGCATTGATATGAAACTCATAAGTTTTTTGTTGAGCATCACGACAATTTTGTTGAGAATCAAACTTTCTATATTGAGTATTAGAAACATGCAATTGAATATCATGGTCCGTGATACAATATCTATAATCAACTCCCACATGAATCTAATATAATATGATACTTTTGAAATATGCATTGACATACCATTTTAAAATGAGCATACATAATTTACCAAATGAACAATGGTATGAAAATCATAAGCTTTGTTAGTTGAGCATCAAAACATTTTCATTAAACATCAAACCTTCTATATTGAGTATAGAAGGTATACTCTTATGTAAATCTATATGATAGTTTTGAAATATGCATTAAAATGACATTTTAAAATGAGTTTAACCCAATACTGGATGAACATAAGTAACTTACAAAATGAGTATCGAAAAATTCGAAGGATCGGTTGAATTCCTTAATGTGTTCAAATGTTCATTTCCACATATTTATTTTCCACTATACTCATTTTAGTATAACACAAAACTCGTGATAGTATTAACACACAGCTAATACCTAAAACATTTTGTAATGAACAAATTATAAAAACTTAAGCTAGAAGGTTGATTGAAAGAAGAAAAAAATCTAACATTAAATGAGCATTAAAAAAATTAAAATGGGCATGACACCAATACACATGAATATTATATTTTAAAATGAGTACTACATCAATATCAAATGAGCATACACAATTTACAAAATAAGCATCCAAAAATTCAAAAATATTTTATATGCTCAAAGATTATAATTTATTTGTATATGACTATATAAAACAACGTATAGCACAAGGGAAGCCCATCCGCAAATGATTTGCGCTCATCAGCAAAAAGCATTGACATTCAAAGTGACAATTGCAGAATCCTAACTCGCACTAACTAGGTAACCCAAGCACCAGCGTCTTGTTTAGAAAACAAAACCGGTGAGCACCGATTTGGTTAATCAGACACGGGGAACAAAATCGTTGTATCAGACATCGCATCGAGTAAGGTGGCTCAGTCGTCTTCTCCAACTCATATCTCTGCAGCAAGATGTCCGGCGAAACTTTAGCAAATTATTACAAAAATACCTGGCTGTACCGTGTGCACGGTACAACCGGCTGTACGATATATTTTACCAAGGGGTACAAAATTAATTCTTCTCTAATATAATTTATAAGTCCGTGTTAATAATGTAAACCTATCACCGAGAACCCAGATTAAAAGAAACACTGAATCACAATTTGGAAAATCCGAATTTAAAAATGATTACAAGTTGAGATTCAAATTTAATGAATAATAGTAAAACAGAATTATTTGAATATCATTTGGGGACGGATAAATCTATGTATGCCATCAAGCTCATGATCTAGTACATCATCATATATACATATATAGTCACCTTCGGATCCCCACAAATGTTTGTGCATATATACTAGTGCAAATTCACAATCTATGAAAGAATTATATACAAACCTCCTCCTAATACTAAATCTTTGACTCCATTAAAGTATGTATAGAAATAGTTACACAGTAATTTACACACATTATGAATTTATTACCTATATCCGTGTTTGTCAAAATGTTACACCTATGAAATAAGGAAATTAAAAGGTCAGTCATCATACATATCCATGATATCAATAGTGACAACAACAAAATTTGAAATATATACAAAATTACAATTTTCAAGTCTTTCTAACAAAAGCTAATTAAATTAACGACTTCTGGAGCTGTTGCGATTGTTAATTTGTTATCAAAGTATATTGGTATGTTGAGGTATATCTTGACAATTTTCAAAATTTCACCATTTTTTCATCAAAATATTGATATACAGGACGTCAAAATATGAAGATGTCCTCTGTCGTCATTATAAATTTCATTAATTATAGAATCAATAATTCGATTATAGTATAGTTCACTTGAGTCAAACTATGTGAAAAAGTTGAGTTCATCTAGTTAAGAATGAATAATTACTCTAAGTACTTAAAGACTCAGTGTCACTTTATTTTCTTGAGATGGGTTCTTAAGTCTTAACTATCTAAACTATGTCTTGACTGTTTGTAGTTACCCAACTTGTTGAAGGAGACTCTTCAAGGAACATTGTTGAAATGATATGCAAAAGTAGCCGGTCTAACAATGGGATTGAGAGGATCCTGAAGGTCCATAACATGCAAAAGACACTAGCGGATTTCGAAGAATATCGTGAAAGGGTGAAGATCCGGGCTAACAAACTAGCCACCAAACATGCGCGTTGTCTAGCCGATGGCAACGAGCTTCTAAGGTTCCATGGCACGACTGTCGAATGCCCGCTCGGTATGAATCACTCCCCGAGCATTTGTTTTTCGGATAAATGTAACGTTTGCCAGATTTTGAGACATGGATTTACATTGAAAAAGGAGATCAATGGAGGGGTAGGAGTCTACACGGCTTCTACTAGTAGTAGAGCGCTTGAAGCTATTGAATCTTATGACAAGAAAAAAGTGCTTATAGTTTGTAGAGTGATTGCTGGAAGGGTACATAGACCGCTTGAGAATGTTGAAGAATTGGTGGGTCAACATGGGTTTGACTCATTGGCTGGTAACGTAGGAGGAGGAGGCCTTTACTCAAACTTTGAAGAGCTATTTTTACTTGATCCCAGAGCTTTACTCCCTTGCTTTGTGGTGATTTGCAAACCTTAAAATTTTCATTTGTGTCCCTATACTTTGTGTCCCTATACTTTGTGGGTCACCTTGTCAAGTTTTTGTAAATGATCATTTTGTCATAGAATTAAAGGGACTAATTAATGGTTTTACCACGACTAATGATGAACTCTAACGTCAGACCTCTCTCGGTTACAATCATTTAGAAAATACGTAGTATTCTTCGTCATGGTCATAAATAACGTAATTCATTTATAAAACTAGTAAGTAAAAGTAAATAAAGATTACTAGTAAAACAATTACTAGTATTTCATCCGTTCATTGCCCGAAAAAACATTCACCCAGTGCATAAGGGTTTTATTGAACATATATAAGGGGCTGTTTACTTTTTTTTTCTATTAAGTTCTGAATGGATTAAGATGTCTGTCCGGATTAAGACGTCTGTCTGGATTAAGTAACAGTAAGATAAGAAGTTGTTTACTATGTGTGCTGAATGAGAAGTCTGAATTATGTTAAATGACCAAATAACCCTAATGTACAAAACAAGTGCCAAATGTATATTATATGTTTACATTACTTGTTCTCAAATATAATTTCATATGCTTAATAAAAGAGTCACATTACTTGATAAGAAAACGTCAAGATTCTACTACAACATTTTAAATATAAACATTTTCTGACTACCCTTACCAATTTCATAAAAAGTGTAATAGTTTGTATTTGTGAAATCTTATGCTCTCAGAAAACAAAGTTAAAGTGGCTGATGTGAACAGAAACAATAAGCAGAAACTTTTTTTTAAAATAATTGATGTTATATCAATATGCCAAGAAGAACATATCACAAACTGTGAATGTATAGGGAGTGATATGTGTTTTTAATTACTCCAGGAAGAAAGGGTTTTTCAGGTTGGGCAAATCATGAATATGAGCAATACATTTATGCAAATTTGTGATGTCTTGATTATGAGATTCACCATCAACTCTTGATCCCTGCATCATTTCAGAAATCTCCATCAATCCTATTATCATGAAGAGCCCCGCCCATGACGGTTTTGGGTTGTTTGCGGCAGCTAGTTGAGTATTTAGATCAAACAGTTGGCGCGCAACAGGAGACTTTGTTGTTTCCATAGCATTAGATGTGTTCCCTTCTTCTGCAAATCCTGCGGCTATATCCTGGGGTTCATCAATGGCCTCAATATCATCTTCAACAAGGATTTCCTCAGCCTCAAGCATAGATACTTCCTTTCCAGTATTTTGAGGGTTATGCGCTACCTGTAGACTTCCCGCAACCTTGTCCTTTAGACTTTAGTGGATTACTACGTTTCACTGGGGTATGCGCCCTGGCTTCCCCATTGGAGAAGGGAGGAATCCACAGGGTCTGAACGCCAGAGATCAGTTCAAGTAAAACTCAGCCCTAAGAGCAAATCCAGACTGCTAGACCAGAACGTCCAATATTTCTTCACTTCTTTCGCGATAGGTTGCAGGTAGCTCCAATTTGCGAATTTCAAGAGCTTTTGGTAATGTCTAGCGATGATTTTTTAGATGAAGCGATGGAATAGATGGAGAAGCCATGAAATATGTGAGAGACGGGAAATCCAGGGTTAAAACGGAAAGGCTCGTTCGCAGAGATGTCTGAACCGGGAGGAGTATTAAAATTCTGCTGAACCATTAAGTTGAAATTTGTCTGAGCGAATAAGTGGCTTGATAAATTAAGTCACAGGTAAACACAATGATATAGCTGAGCGAATAAGTCCTGATCTCCATTCAGCCCATTAAGTCCTTAGTAAACGGGGCCTAAGTATATTTTAAACATTAAAACTTCAGAATTTAATATTTAAGAAATGACATAAGAAAAGAACTATAAATTGTTATACACATTTGTGGAAACAACATTCATCATAGCATTTTTGGACTGACAATCATCAATCATGGATGATGGGTTTCAATCTAGATAAAACAAAATTGCAAATCTGAAATGCGCAGTCCTTCATCCAGGAAGAAGTGATGTAATATATCATTGGATACAACATTATACATTATTTATCCTCTAGGTTTGTTTACTGCAGACAAATCTTTCATATTATTTCATGAATAACTCGTTATACTCATCAGCCATAAAAGTCAACAAGCTTTGAAGTTCCTTGATCACCCAAAACAATTTCTTTTGCTTCAACTCTGTTCCGATGTAATCACGTAGGAGTAGTAATTTTCTTGGGTTCTTCTGAATTGCTGGAGGAGTTTCTCAATCTCCACCAAATAGCTAGTACTTTTGAATTGAATTTATGTTTCCTCTGGTTCCAACTCTTTAGAAGAGAGAAGACATATAATCTATGTGACGGTCAAATCAAATACTGTGAAAAAGAATTACTCCGTAATTGTTAACTACCTATTATGAATAATATAAATGTGTACGGTGATCATGATGAAGGTTCTTCATAGTGCTTCACGATAGCAAAATAAATTTGTATGCTTTCAAATCCCTTTTAAGTCAACGATCGTTGCATTGATATTAGAATATCCACGCACTCTCAGATTCCATAAATAATCTATAACATTTCATGGTGCCAATATTAGCTTTTGTACAATTCACAATGAACTTTTGATGGCCAATATGCAAACTCTTGTTAACCTTTAGAAATTGTTTTGCTAAAGTAGATCGATAAGTCCGTATTTCAAGACGTATTTGATGCGTGTTAATATCGGTTTTCGATGGTTTTTCTAGTCATAGGCGGAGCTAGGGATGAGCCAACCTAGGTCCTGGCTCACCCTAAATTTTAAAAATGGCTTAATTTTTAAGGTAAAAAGTTTTGTGTAAATTTTTTTTCTAAAAATATTCTTTGTACCGGCCTAGTCCGGTCGAGTGTCCTGGCTCCGCTCATGTTTCTGGCTTAAATGTGCCGCAAGTCTCATAATTAGCTCAAGTCATATATTGTTGGGCTTTGATTCATGTTTGGTAATTTTAGAGTCAAAATTGGAGAATTTAGCCCGGCACCGGCACCGCCTTCGCTGTCGTCCAAAAGATGTTTGCTCAACAACGAGTGCAGGAGTGAAGTAGCTCCCTATTTCAAATAGCAGGTAATCTTCTTCACTTCTTCTTCATCCTTCTCTTCTTCTCCTCCTCCTTCTCACCATCTTCAGTGTCCTTGTTTTCTTCTTCTTTGATTTTGAATTTTATTTATTTATTAATTTTGATTAATCAGGAATTTAGGAATGTCATAAAATTAATGATATTTAGAAAAATGTCACTTCTTCTATGTCGTTGCACCTATTAAGATGATGATATTATTTTGAAATTACAAAACTCTAGAATGTCATATTTTAGTCCGTTTCACAAAATAATGTCAGTTTTATGCCACTTACTTTATAAAGATGACATTTTCTTACTGAACTTTAATTTTGACATTTTAATGGCATTTTCTTACTAACTTTAATTTATGCCACTTGATATGAATAATGGCATGTTAATGACATTTTCTTATGGACATATGACATTCTCAGATTGTCATCCGATCCTAATAAATGTATTGCCACAAACGTGTCAATTTTTTCAAATAATCAATAATTTTGACATTCTCATATTATAAAATTGACATTTTTCCGAATAAATAAAACTCAGCCACTATGGGCGTATTTGCCCTATTGACACATCAGAAGGAAGCAATGTTGGGCTTAATGGAATGTATAAATTTAGGAATTCCAACAATTTCTTTAATCGATACTAATTGCGACCCCAATCTATCAGACATTTCAATTCCAGCAAATGATGATGCTATCTCTTCAATTCGATTGATTCTTAACAAATTAATATTTGCAATTTGTGAGGGCCAAATTAATACTTGCAATTCCCTCGTTAGCCAAGGGTTTGATTCTATTTTTTTGTACATAATTTTTATTTTTTTGTACATAATTTTTGATAAAAGCTCTTATCTTTTGGTCTTTTTTTTTGAAAATCAATAACTTAATTATTATTGATAAGGGTAACCAGAAACATAACAATCAAAACTCGAATCATTCCAATCACAGCGTTCAATGCTGCACTAGGGTGACACAAAGAACAAAAAAACCATATAAAAGCTATTATGTTCGCTAACCCCGCAACTATGTAGACTCGTCCCGCAATCTGACTGCTCGTGCTACTCGAAATAGGTCCAGTTTGACCAGCCACCGAAAAAAGGATGTCTTAAACTTGCCGGTTTTTCTAGCCACCGGTAAGGAGCCAAGTGCAGAAATTGTTCCGGTTTCACCAGCCACCGGAAAGAAAGCAATCCATTAACTCTCATCTTCCTTGAAAGGCGGTGGTTCGGGGGGGGGGGGGGGGGGGGGAGATCGGCCTCTATATTGATACAGAAGAAATCTTGATTCATGATCGATGGAGAAGTCAATGCACATCTCTTACTAACACCCAAGAACACTCGACCGATGATGGCGGGGAATATAAATCTGGCGAACGACATTTCACTACTGAAAATAATATCTCTAGACAACGCTAGAAAATAGATGTATACTTAGAACTGAAAATATTAATCTAACGAAACTTTTTTCATGATTGGGATCAAAAGAAAATTGAACAAAGAGAGGAAAAGAAGAGGAGGCGGCTAGGTTTTCCCCTTCGCCACTTTTGACAATATGATTATAATAAATTCGTTTGATTTCACACCCTCTTATTGTTTGATCTTCTAATCCAAAAAATCCAAATTAATAAATAAAATCCATAAAAATATTTAGAATTTAAAAAGGTAGTAGATGAATAGGAAAAAAACAGAAAACAGAGTGCCGGAGGTGGAAGAAGTGCACCAGGGGAAGAAGAAGAAAGAAGAGGAGGGAGAAGGGGAGGGGGAGGAGGAGGAGATTACCTACGGTCGACAGCGGAGGTGCGGTGCGAGGCCATAGTAGATGGCGGAGCTGCAGTCCATTGGAGGAATGGATGTGCGCCTGTGCGGAGCTGCTGCGATGAATTGCAGTCGAGCGAGAGAAAGTCGATGAATTGCAAATGGATGTGAAGGGTAGAATGATAGTCATCAATCCTATTTAGGGAATTTAATCCGTGTAATCCTATTTTGGAATTTTGACCATGTTTTAGTCCTATATAAAGGAGAATTTCTTTATTTCTTAACTAGGATATCCTCATTTAGTTAGCTGGGGCAATGAACACGTTATCATTTATTTAATTTTTTCTTCTTAGCCGTATGAATAATGTGTTACAAACCCATGACCCTACAGCACACTCCCAGTCTACCAGTGCCCTGCAAATGTATTAATTCAGCTCCTCCACGTCCATATTCAGTATTAAATCATTTTACGGATTATTATATTAAATTGGCCCTGATAAATAATCTTAGAGATAATGCAACTTGCAGGAGTTGCAGCCATGGTTAAAAACCATGAATTTTTGGGATGGGAGAGAGTCGTCGTTGGAGCGTCTTTTCCTCATTTATGATTGCCTTGCGTTTAATATAAATTGTGATGTTAGGCTAATCGCAGTCCAAATTCCGATCGACCATCCCTACAAAAGGCAGAACTCTCTCACATCTACCATCTATCAAAGCCGGCCAAAACATGCATTTCTCTACAATGTCCGCCGAGCAAAATATGTGTTCATCTACAATCGGAGGATATAGCAGGGTTCGAGCTGGTCCGCTCTCATTCCTACGCCAGTCCCCATCACTGAATATCCTAACCGTCAAATTTACGGTTTCAACGGACAAGCATGACGCGTTCTTCCCGACACCGAAAGGAGCATATCTTCATCGGAGAAGCGCTATTTACCAACCAAACATCTGGAATTACGATTTCATAGAATCTCTTTACAGTGAATTTGGCGTAAGCAATCCAACCATACTCCTCCTCCCATCCTATCCCTTTTTGAAAAAATGATATTTGTATTTACTCTTATTCTCATCACTCTTATATTATATACATTTACTTTTTCGTGATGAATTCTAGTGACAGACAAAACATGTCAGGTTTTGTCTGTGTAAATTTGCACAGACAAAGCAAGACATGTTTTGTCTATGAACGGGAATCGTATCACAGACAAAAACATTGTTTCTCACATTGGTGAATATATAAGAGATGATATAAGGTAGATACAAATAGCAAGGTTAAAACATTGTTTCTCACATTGGTGAATATAAGGGATGATATAAGGGAGATACAAATAGCAAGGTTGTGTTGTCCCTCCTTTGTCCCACTTATATTTTCATCTTACTATTAACTTTGTCTCATACTCAGTAGGTGGTAATACTTGAGTGTTTAAAATTACTTTTACTTTATTCATATTTTATCATTTATTTATTAAAAATACAATCTCACTTTTCATAAGAATTGCATCACTTCGATCACCTTGTCTCAATCTTAGGTAGGGGATGAATAGTAATATTTATGTCCCATTAACATTGGGATATGAGGAAGTTATAAAGTTAATAAGAAAAATATGTTTGTGTGATTGGTATTGAATTGATAAAGTTAAATAAAGTAAGAATGATTTAAGATCACACAACTTTATCAAATTTAGTTTGAGACAATCTTGTTGGGATGGACCGAAAAACGAAAATTACTTGGTCTAATAAATCCCACGTATTTACTACTTAGTGATCGAATCAAATTACATAAAATGACACTCATGCACAAGAAGCAACTACTGGTAGCTAGCGCAAAAAAAATCAAATTCGTAACTAGATAAAGTAATCCATGTCTTCTTTTTTAATTCGATGGATCATTTATTTCGTCTATTTTGTTTAGTAGTGTAAAAGTATCCATTCTTTTCTTCCTTTTTCTTTAATTGCATTTTCTAATATGTTTATTTAAAGCATTCAAATTTTGAAAAAATAAAATCCTAAAATATACATGGCCGGTTATTGTCATTTATACAGTTACCCAGCGAAAACCGAACTATGAGGTTTAAATCAGTTATTTACTGTGATGTTATTAATATTATTATTATTATTATTATTAGAATTATTATTATTAATATTATAACTATTATTACTATTATTACTGTTATTACGATTATTATTACTATTATTATTAGTATTACTATTATTATTATTATTAGTATTTTTATTATCATCATCATCATCACTATATTCATTATATCATCATCACCATTATATTTTAACTATCATCACCATTATATTTTAACTAAGAATATAATCACACTAAATAGATAATATTGGGCACTGCCTTACTCAAGCGTGGCTGTATACTCTAGTATAGTATGGAGTATAAAACTATACTGTTAGAACTTTAAATAAGCATAGATTATTGAATGAATTATTAACTACTTCTTCGGACCAAGTACTTTGTGGTCTGATGATATCACTGTGATACTCCCAAGAAAGAGGTCACAGGTTCGAATCTCATCCCAGTTCAAGGGTGTTGGCATTAACATAGAATATATACTATAATAGGTTAGAAAGTTTTGCAAAAAAAAGACCTACTTCAGTTTGATTCATTTGTGCTTGTTCTAAACACTTTCACCTTCTTTTTAAAATAAATAATTTGTGATTTAGTTTTTTTTAAAGAAAGATACTCATTTATTAATGATATTAAAAGTAACTGTAGACAAGGCAGAGCAATCACTCAAAGCAACTCTGGAGTGAGACATAAAACTAGCTAGCCCCGGAAGGTTGTGCCAGATCGCTAACTCCACAATATGGTAGGCTATTCTATCAGCATTGATGGACATGCCACTAAGACAAAAATATAAAAAACAACAAGTGTTCAAATGCTGAAAAGGAACATGTAAACTAGAAATCCTGGTGTTTTCAAAAAAAAAAATTAGAAATCCTGGTTTTACCAGCAACTGACAAGGGAGAAGAGGTTTTTTCCACCACCTCCAAAGACAACAATCCGACTTGACCATCCATCGGAAAGGGAGAAGAGGTTTGTCCACCCACCTCCAAAAGAAAGCTCTCACTTGCAACTGTTGGGATTGGAAAATTCATCTCTTCAATATCAAGAACAGAATTACAATAGGAGGAGCAAACTCTCACACTCAACTATTACAAAAAATCAATCCTCACCAATACACTTCTACTCTAAGTGTATTTTCACTCTTCACACACTTTTCTCACTTTCTAAATTGATGATATGAACAAGAATGGAGCACTCTATTTATAGGCTACTTTGGAGACAAGAGGAAGTTGCATCCAAGCTTCCTAATAATTATCTCCATATCTTCTCCCATGCCTATTTGTTGGAGAGCTCCTTCCATGAAGGTGTGAGATGTCTCTTGGCAACTTCCAAGAAAGAAGGTGGAAATTCCCTACAACAACACCTAATGATACTTCAGGCGGTGGTGATTCAGTAGCACCGCCGCTGCCTTGTTTTTTGACCTGGTTCCATCGACCTCCATATTAACTTGTACCTCCACCAGGTTCTCTAAATCCATTGTTCTTCGCTTTTTGAGTTCACCTTCCTCTAGACTCCTAACATGTTGTTGCTCCTCTACCGTCCCCACTTTCTCTTTTCCTCGTGAGATCAAGCGCACCATATAGCATCCCACATCAGTACCCTTCTCTGGGCATCCTACCAATGTTCAATTATAAATTTGAACACCAAATATAAATTTGACAATGTTCAAAGAGACTGGGTATAAATTATTTTCGCATATCAATTATGATAATCAAGTATATATACTTCATACAAAATTGCAGGACGTGGAACACCAACGAAGGGCTCACAAGCTAAAAGAAGAAGTGTTGCGCGGCCTTCTTCTTGACGAATCATTGGATGCTGTGGCAAAACTTGAACTCATAGACAATACAGAAAAGATGGCAATTTCCCATCATTTTGAGAAGGAAATTGCGGAATGTCTTAACCACATCATGCTTTCTTCTGCTTATAAAAAGTTTCTTTGCTCTAAAATGGATCTCTATGCCACTGCTTTATATTTTAGGGTTCTTAGACGATATGGCCATGATGTTTCACAAGGTACATACATTATACATATATGCACACTTCAATACTTATAAAATCGTTAATTTTTATGAAAAATATGTTTGTATCCACTTTTGTACCTACTCCCTCCGTCCCCTTTTAAATGTCCCGTTTTACCATATTGGGATGTCCCTATTTAAATGTCTCATACCTTATTTGGTAAAGTTTGTGTGGCTCAAAATTATCATTCTTACTTTATTCTTACTTTATCAATTAATATCAACCACACAAACCCACTTTTCTTAAAACCCGTGTCAGCCTCCTCCGGGACATTTAAAAGGGGACGGAGGGACTACCTCATATTTTGCTTGCGGCGTACACAAGCAATTCGTTAAGAAGAAGACAACATTTGTCTCTCCAATTGCATGTGTACACAGGCAAATGTACAAATGTGTGTACAAAAGTGGCTACAACAAGGACTCGTTTTTTTTATAGTTTTAAAATGATAGAGATGAATGACATTATTGACCAAAGAGAATCACTATGTTTAATTATTTAGTGATTAGAAAGATATGACTAAAGATATTATGAATACATTCTTGATCATTAAGGATGTTTTTATTTGGATTATTTTTAATTCCAAACCAGATCAGATCAGGCCAGACCAGATCAGACCAAACTTGGATAGTTATAAAATACACAGAGACCCGACGTTTACCAGACCAGACCAGTTTAAACCAAACCAGACCAAACCAGCAAATTTCAGTCCAAGTAAAAACATCTATCCTAATAGCCTACTTGGTAATATTCAAATCGGCTATATCGGTTGATTTTTCTGAAATTTATAGAGTTCTGACTGAACTTTCTTGATTGACTGATTCCTAAATAAAGAAAAAATAATACTCCGTATGAAAAATAATTAAAATGATCATCTACCATAACTTGAACCAATACAACGAGAAAAAGGTAACTCCAAATTTACTTGTTCTTATTATTACAAAATTCATCGCGCAAAATGAAAAAGTTATGTATTTGATGAAAAATAGTTTATAAGCATGATAAAACCAAAAAATAGGGTTACCAAACGGCTGTGAATTGGAAAGCTTCATATTGATGTCACTAATTTAATTTCTTTTGATTTACGGAAATGCGCAAACGAACAGATGTATTTGTGCCTTTCTTGGATGAAATGGGAGACTGTAGCATAAAACAAGAGCCCAGAACAATACTAGAGCTTTTGGAAGCCTCATTTTTGGCCTTAGACGGCGAAATCATCTTGTTCAAGGCTCGAATTTTTTGCACGGAGACTCTCAGGAATGTGATAGTTTCACAAAACGGCTCAGACATTAGTCATCGCTTATCAGAGCTTCCTTTGCACTGGACACCCCCTTGGTTTGCTGCGAGAAGAGAAATTTCTCGACTTGAAAAAGATAATTCAAACTCAAAGTATTCCAACCTTTTTTATTTTGCAAAATTGAACTTTAATATAGTTCAAGCTGAGCACCAAAAAAATTAGCAACAATAATCTCATCTTGACTGGTCTGCTCATAATAATCCCACATTTGCGTAATCCCAAAATAATCTCACCTTTGCAGCTCATCTTCTCTCATTGGGCCATGATAGGTTAATGACCTACTATATTAGTGATGGATAGTGTACCCGGAGTAGCTTATCCGAGGGATATTATGAATAATATCTAGAGAGAAGTCGGAGCAAACAAGTAAGAGAGAAAGTCAAATGTATTAAATGAGCTCAATGTCCGTTACAGAGGAAAAGGGGGCTGCTATTTATAGCAGTCATAAATGCTATATGCATACACGTGTCAATCAGCCAGCGGTGGAGGGTCACTTCGACCGGGGTGGCACCGGCATTGCATGTGCACCGCATTAAAAGGGGTTGTTGGACGTGACGCCGCATTCAATGCGGAGGTTGCCTGTCTTCGGAGGGAATCTTCGCTAAGCGTTCCATAGCCGAAGGCACCATATAGCCGAAGGCTCTGCGCAGCCGAGGGCACCATGTAGCCGAAGGCTACTGTTTTAGCCAGAATTTCCCAACATCTATTTGGCCCAAGAGCGACCGTTTTCGGAGTTTTGGTGCCCTCGATTGTGGTGCCGAAGGCATCCTTATGCGTATCGTGGGTTCCTTTGAGCTCGGGCCGCTGTATCTGGGCTTCATGTGCTTATTGGGCTCATTGGGCCTGTTTAGGAGAGGTAGGAGTCTGTGGGCCAGGGGTCCCTGGGCCATATACTCCATCAATTAGGCTTTTTCGTTTTCTTTGGAAATCTTACATAAATAATTAATAAGAAGATGAAAAGAGAAAACACAAAGGTCATTAACCCATCAGGGTTCAATGAGAGAAGATTATGCAAAGGTGAGATTATTTTGGAATTACGCAAAGTTGAGATTATTATGAGCAGACTAGTCAAAGATGAGATTATTGTTATCAATTTTTTCAAAATTAAATGATATGTTGTTATAAATATGTTTTGAAGGAAAATCACCCATCTTTTATAATAATTAAATCATTTTTCCAATAAATTACAATGAAATTCAGAGTTCGCATTTATGTGTCCTAATTTAATTTACAAATAAATTACAATGAAATTCAGAGTCAAAAATATTACTGCTTCCGTCCCATTTATGTGTCCTAGTTTGATTTGACAAAATTACAAATAAAGTCGTTGAAAAAGTAAAAATTGTAGTTGAGATTTGAGTATAATAAAGTGAAATGTTATAGAGCCCATATTTCTTTCCGCAAATGTGACACTTATTTTGGGACATAGCAAATAGGAAAATAGAACATGTAAAATGAGATGGAGGGAATACTACATTCCTCACATTCAAAGGTTCGCATTCCAAAATGACACGGTTATTTAGACAATAATTGTGTGTGATTATTTGAGTATATATTTTGAGAAATCGTTTTAATGGGTATATAATATAATATGGTTATTGATGTAATAGTGATGTTGTAGTATTATTATTAATAATTGATGATTAAAATAGAAAATGAAAGTGAGAACACTTCGATCAATGGGATGGTGGGGTGTTGAAGGAATATTATACTAGTAATAAGTTATGACTTACGAAGAAATATCATACTAGTAATAAGTTATAAAAACAAGATGTAATATAAATCTCTTCATCAGTCCCATTAAGGTCTCATCCAGTCATCCATGGTTCTCAGTTCAACTTACATCCAATACATATATAGTCGAGCGATGTTAAGATTAAGATATTTTTTCAAAACTACTACCTCCGTTCCTAAAAATTCTTCCCAGTTTGAATTGGCACGCTTATTAAGAAAGTGAAATAAAGTGGAAATGTGTGGTTGTGGTTGTGTAAGAAAAAGGTAAAATGAATGTGAGCCACACAAATTGTCCAAAAAGGAAAAGTGGGAAGAATTTTTGGGAACGGCCCAAAAAGGAAAGTGGGAAGTATTTTTGGGAACGGAGGGAGTATTACTTAAATCAAACTCATTTAATTAATAAAATAATTGAATAAAGGTTATCATAGTATCATGGCATGAGGAATTAATTGTAATACTTGCACATGTTACAATGATTATAGCTACTATTACAGGCACTACACATGTCACAATTTTGTAAACATCCTTTATTTTAATCATTAATATGTAATTATTTGTAAGATTAAATTTTAAAAATATTACATAATGTACTTTTTATTTCTTTAAAATTTGTCATCTTTGATTAACACAAAATAATAGTGCAATAAAAAAAGTTTGTTCGAAATTTTTGTACATGACACAGAAAAAGTATATTAATCAGACGCTTATTTAGTATAAAAGAAAGTGATAAAGTTTTCAACAATTGAATAAGAAAAATTAACAAAATTTTGTGAATGAGTACTTCGGAGTATATATTACTTCGTGATTTAAATTAACATAATAATATGCAAGAAACTACCATAAAAGTTCTATTGAATTTTAAAATTGAATTTGATATGATAAATATTTTTAAAATAAATTCAAAAGACAAAAATATAACTTATTTTAAAAACTTCCAAAAAATTGACATATTTAATGACTAGTTCACAGTGACTCGTCATCTTCAGTGATTTGTTATTTTAAAATACACTATAATGACCAGTTCACAGTGACTAGTCATATTTTTGTCCCCAAAAAATTATTAGTCATATTTTTTGTCCGGAAAAGCTCTATTAGTAATAGGGAAAATGGAAACTAATAATCCAACCTTTTAGCGGTCTTCTTTCAATAATCCCACCATTTGATTATTCATGAATAATCCAACCTTTTCACCTCATCTTCATTCACTGGTCCGAGATCGGTTAATGACTTACTATTCCAAGTTATTTTCTTATCTTTGCAAAATATTATCTTTGTGAAAGATGAGATTTATGGTATAATGATTTGCAAATATAAGAAAATAGCTTAGAATAGTAGGTCATCAACCAGTCAGGGACCAGTGAATGAAGATGAGGTGCAAAGGTTGGATTATTCATGAATAACCAAAAGGTGGGATTATTGTAAGAAGACCGCTAAAAGGTTGGATTATTAGTTTCCATTTTCCCTTAGTAATATACATTTCATTTTTCCAAAAAGCTACTACTATTTTATAACATTTTATGTTAAAAGAGAGTTAAGTTTATTAGAGTATAGAAAAGAATCAGTACACAAAGACTACATTTTTGGATTTGTGCACTTCGATCATATATATCTGACTAAGTAACTTGTGTGATATAGGAGACGATGAAACCATTAATATTTAATTTTGATATATCCTGATCGGTTTTGTTTTATGTTCAGTGTTTCTCATTAAATTCATTTGAATTTCAGATTAGATCATATTTAATACGATAGTATTTAATTAGGATAGATCAAAGAAAAAAGTGAATAATACTACATAGTAAACTATACATAGGCAAGACGTTTATTAGACTTAAACAAATTAAACTTAAGAGGTCCGACTAGATCTTTATATCATTCCAATTAAAAAACATTATTATTATTATTATTATTATTATTATTATTATTATTATTATTATTATTATTATTATTATTATTATTATTATTATTATTATTATTATAACTTAAATATAGTAACTTATGTTTCATCTGTCTCATTCAAAGATTATCACCCTCTTTTTTTGGACGTCCTTGCTAAAGGTTCCTATTTTCTATTTTAAGAAACAATTAACACTCTTAAAAGACAATTTAATTTAATCTCAACTATTTAAAAAAAATGAATTGTTAACATCACAGTTATCATGAATAACTATATTATATTATACACCCATCAAATCTATTTCTCAAAATACACTTGAATCACGGTATTTGATTATTGTCTAAATAATCGTATCATTTTAATTTATAAATAAAAGAAAAAACTATATATATTATTATTATTATTATTATGAGGCACTCTTAAATACCTAGGGAACCTAACAAATTTCTTTAATTTGCTTGAAATGGTGTAATTAATTCCAGTTTGATGAATTGGATATCATTTTTGACATTTTGACAATTGTTATACTTCACTAAACTTAAATGTTACAAAATTGTCATTTAGATGGTGGAGGAATCTTGGGGGAATTGAAAATCTGAGCTTCACAAGAGAAAGAGTGGTTGAAAGCTTCTTGTGGTCCGTAGGTGTAGTGTCTGACCGGGAACACGGGGAGTCCAGAAAATGGGTGACCAAGTCCATAATTTTGAGTCTAATTGTGGACGATATTTATGACATCTATGGATCCATACCAGATTTGGAAATCCTCACAAATGCTATTGACATGTATGTATGTTGCCGTAGCTATCAATTGTGTAAACTGAAATGAGTTTGAATTAGAGCCATGACTCGGTTTTTCAACTTATCAAACCTAAATTGTCAGGTTTATCGGTTGACTTTTTAATCAAATACGTAATTTTTGATTTCGTGTGCTGAACTATTTTAATAATAAGAAAAAGTAAGGTTGAAGTAAATTTTCTGGTTGTATTGGCTGAAGTTACTGTAGATGATCATTTTAGCTATTTTTCATAAAAAAAATTCTTGTTGTATGAACAAAATACTTCCTATATTTTAAACATAACTTTTCATAAATCAGCAGAATCAGACAACACAATCACTTCTGCCAATCGATCAACAGATTCAGCCGATCAATTCTGTGTTACTAAATGTGCTCTTAGATATACTCGAAGTCAATAAGCATGAATCCCTTTGAGTTCGAGTTCGAGTTCGACTTCGGGCTAGAATGACATCAATATTATCGGCTCGGGCTCGATTATATTCATGTTTTTACCTTGAATTAGATGTTCGAACTCCAGTTCAAATTCGATTACAAAATAATTTTTTAGTTATAATATATTCACACACATACAGGAAAAAGTTCGAGTGAAAATCATCTTAAATTGAAAACTTTTTATGATGATTTTGTTTTAATCACAACCATTCATTTCATTCAATTATTCATAAGAAAAAAAAGAGACGTGATGCGCATGTGGTCCTCTTTTGTAATTATTCAAAACTTATTATATGGGTTCTTTTTTGAATTATGTAATTAATTCATTAATTATGCAGGTGGGACCCTAACGGAGTTGGAGATTTACCTGAGTGCATGAGGATATGCTTTTGGGAACTTGATAACATCACCAATGATATTGTTCGTCACATTTGTGAACACAAGGGTTGGAACGACAACTCGGCTTTACCATGTTTACGAAGAGCGGTTCGTATTCTCGACTGCCTATACTTGTTTAACGTGTTTTTACTTGAATAATTATAACTAATAAAATACAGACGTTTATCAGACCAGATCAAAACAGTTCAGACCAGATCATAGGGCTGCACATCGGGCGGGTTAGGTCGGGTTTGCTATATTTTTTGGGCCTACCCGATTTGTTCGGGTTGGCTATTAACCAACCCGCGGTACGCAAAATAAGTTGGTAAACCATGCATGAACGGGTCGGGTAGGGTCGGGTATTGGGGGAAAAAATCACTTCGGATTGCATCCTTCATGTGGGAAATTAATGTAACCAATTTAAAACTCGATTAACTTGTTCCTAAAACACACAAACAAATACAAGTACTCGTATGTATCTTTTATAAGCAAAACATTAGCTAATAGTATTAAAACATCCTTCTGTAAAAGAAGTTCATTTAGAAGGAAACGTAAATATATAATAATCACCTAGTCAAAATGATAAATGTTTAATTATAATTCTAATATCACAAAGTCCTAGATAGAGCACATTGGTCTTAAATTGAAATTATCCAAGAAAACGTTGTAGCATAATAATAGTAAAATGAACTTCGGCCGGGTCGGGTACTATCGGGTTTGAGATTTTAATTCCACAACCCTACCCATTAGGTGCGGGTTCAAACATATTTAACCCATGAATATTTTTAAAAATCAAATACCTGATTAAATAGAGTCGGATAGGGTTGGGTTGGGCGGGTTATGCCTTATGCGGGTTCGGGTTATTCTTGTGCAGCCCTACCAGATCAGATCAGACCCACAAATTTAAGTCCAACTAAAAACATTCTTATTAATTTGCGAATTGTGATATATATCTCCATTTTTTACGATTATAAATGGATTATCATATCGGATATTTCATTTAGTTTTTGCAATGGTCCTTACTAAATACGGAGTAGAATAGAATACCAAAACAACAATAAAAGTTCTTTTCAAAAAAATACCGAAATAAAACATGTTTACGAAAATACGTACGATAACTAAAAGCGAGTATAATATCATGTCATGGTTACTTAGGTATAAAGTTTGAACATAAGCTATTATGAGTAAAGTTACCATAGTCATTATATTATAGAGGTTAATTATTACATAATGATAAATCTCTAACTATATTTCTATAATATATATACGATATTTATGGTATATACGAAGCCCTTGTTCATTAATGAGGTTTTGATTGGTAAAATGAAATATAATTCTTTTATCAAAAGAAATGAGATATACAACAATATAAACCTACAAACATTTAGAAAATTAATGTAAGCCATTCATTTTATTGGTTGCGGTAGAGCCAAAATAATGCACAACAAATATGAAAGGATGGAGTAAAAAATATTATTCGATGATATAGAACAAAAATATGTCTGCCATTGATGAAGTAAAATATTAGGGAGTAAACTAATCTTACAACTTGGGACTTTGGGAGTCAATAATGCCACATAACAAGTAATTTCGATATAAGTACTGAAATTTCTAGTTCACTTCGGGGAATGTATTGAATATGGATCATATTGCTACAGAAGCGTTACACTAATTGCTGCATATGGGACAAGCACACGGGCAATCGAGCTTTTTTCTTAACAATTGCTTTCCTTTCATTTTTAGCTTTTTAAATTTTGTATTCCTATTTACGGTTAAAGAATTTATTAATTTGAAATTATATTTTATGTGTTAGCAGTTTAACGATGAAACACAACAATAGCTAAAATATTTTTCCTTAATGGTTAACTGACAACGTACCAGTATTGCACTGATGTAATACTATTGATTCTTATATCGGTTCTTCTAAAAACTTTTATAACCGAATCGATATGAGATTTAACGGTTCTTCACATGATTCCTAATTTTTTTTCACAAACTTCTCACCCCCTACAATTTTCTTCGTAAGACGACATATAAAATACTACGTATCATTTTTTTTTATATGTTTTTAAGTTTATCTTGTGTATAAGTACTAATGTAATGTAGAATCTTCTTGTTCAACTTTATTTATCGTAAAATGATAAAAAAATCAAATTTTAATGTTCAAATGTTGCATATCGAGGCCGTCCCGGTACCCACCTCCCGACCCGGCCGGTACTAGTCCAGGACTTGTTGCCTGGTTTGTGATACCAGGTAAATAATTAGCCAAATCTGCAACCAGATCTATGTGTACTAGGGACGAGTAGAAGACAACAGAAAAGTTCACAAAAATTTTTGGTGAGGAGAAGAGACAATTGTAGAAAATTAATGAACTAAGAATGAGTTAAAAGTCCATGAAAATCAATGATTTTAGAAGTCAATGAAAATGAGCGGAAGTTTGAATATATCTAGACTTTTATAGACTTTTAAATGTCAACATTGAATACACCTAGACTTTTGTAGACTTTTTAAAGTCCACATTCAATACAGCTAAACTTTTAAAATCTATGAATTTTTAAAATTTTGACACTAATTCCTAATACAATACACCCCCTTGGTGTATATCGTGTTTATTGCATATTTAGAGTTCAATTTTAAGGTATACACCCTATAATTTAAAATGCACACCGTTAAAAAAATTCGATTATACACACTAATCGCGTTCTTTACTTGAACAACGTATAGAAGTGTACATTCTTCACTCTAATAGGGTTAGAGAGCTAACCCCTTCTCATTGAGGGAAAAAAAAAAAACCTTCTCATTGAGGAAAAATGTTGTACATACTCACCCTTATACTAATCCCTGAGATAGGTTATTTCTTGTCCGTGAGTCACGTTCAGATGCATAGAGACATGTTTATTTCTATGAAAATTTTCAAAGCCATAAACATGTTTGTTTTTTCTCTGAATGGGACTCGCAAAAAGATAACCTCTCATAGATGTGGGTATAAGGGTGAGTATAAATAGCAAAGTTAGATAATCAAGGCTTATGGCATCTATTTAATTAACTACTATGGATTACGGAGTATAATTTATAGTTAAATTTAGTTAAATTCTATTTTCCACAAAGTGCATTCACCATATAAGAAGGATATTAATGCAATCGTCTATATGATGATATGTGGTGTATGCTACGGTACCCCATCAAAAAGTGAGGGTATCGTATTTATAACACATAAGATATGCCCACATCATTATTTCATCAGTTGTTTATACAAGGTACAGTATCATCCAAAAAAAAAATATACAAGGTATAGTAGTATCATAGAATTTGCTATATAAATTTAATTAGTGTGCTCACTAAAATTGCAAGATTACTCCATATGTTATTTTATTTTGCTTGAATTCTTAAATTTTTATTTAAACATAACACCATGTATTATGTTTTGTTACATCCTAAAAAGTTGATAACAATGAGTTCGTTTGATAACAATGAAATTTCTTAAATTTTCTGAATTATGAAGGACAATTTTATTTTAATAATACAATAAACAAAAAAAATATGTGAAAAATATGAAATATTTCTCTTTATCAAATCAAATAAATTCAGTGTATAAAAATAATGATCAAACCATCATTAGTATTACATTATTCACTGCTTGAAAGTGAATGTTTTTTTTTAATTGGTAGAAAAATTGATGGGCAAAGCTCATAAGTTGGAAAATGAGTAATTAAAGGTAGAGACAATGTGTTTGGACATAATTACAAATACATTATTTGGAAATTAGTGGGCAGATTTTTGCAAAGCTTTACTAGTTGAAGCAAAGTGGGAGTCAATAAGCTACACACCAACGCTGAGGAAGTACCTAGAGAATGGATGGATATCATCATCAGGCCCTCTGCTTGTACTCCAGTTACTTCTAGGAGCAGCCCATGATTTCTCTGAAGTTATGGACTTCATTCAAAAGAGGAGAGATCTTGTATATAACACCTCGCTTATGATTAGGTTATGCAACGATCTAGGAACTTCAGCTGTAAGACCAACACTCCCTTGTATGCGACAATGCACTAATTCACTCTTTCTTGCACGTACTTTATCCAGAACTCCTAATCTAATATGGTGTATATACTACTTCCGAAAAAATCATCATATCAACATTTCTTGGTCAAATGATGACAAATTTTAAATAGTGATTTCAATTATTATATTTGTATACTTTTATGAAAATATTTGAATAAGGAACATTCTGATATAATTTCTATATGGGAATTTCCTAAATAGGGGTAAAAAAGTTTTGAAATTCCAAAATAGGACTTATATGCTTTCATTCCCTAAATAGGAGTAATTTCTGCCAAGTTTGGCATTATGAGGCTTTATAATG